TACAGGGTGCTCAGGGTCTCACTCACAGTGGTTCACCTGTTTACAGCCTCCCAAGAGCTGGGATTACAGGCGCATGCCACCACGTCCAGTCTTAATCGCCATCTCAGCGCACCTGGGGGCAGGGCTGGCACGGCAGGCCCGGGGATGGAACGCCCTAGGCCCCTGCACCTGCCTGCAGGTGATTTAATCTGCTGAGCTATTTGGCCGGCCCTTTGAGATTGCAAATCCTTTGAATGTAAGAGTCATAAGAGTTGTATCTAAATCCTTTCCACTTTGCATCTCCAACTGTCAAAACTAGCCTGATGTGAAAGTCTATACATTGGAACCAATATTCAATTAATACATGTCTGTGGAGTAGCTACCCAGCAGAGTGCAAAGAAAATTACCTGATCTCGACTTTTAAGAAATCTCAGCTGTCATTTGGAATAAAAACAAGCATTCTCATATACACAACACAGCCCCAGACGCTGACATTAACTCCCTGGAGAATCCGAATTCAGGGAAAAGAAAAACTACTATTGACTGAAGTATTAAATAGAGGAGACCAATCTAGACAGTTGTAAATAAGATAAAGGCTTGAAGGGATAGATACAAAATCACTTAAGAATGAAATTTCTGGTGATTGGCAACTTCAGTTGATCAGATGGATTCCAGTTTGGTGCAGCGTACCTAGGAGAACGAATCACAATGCATAGCGCTACGGCTGGATGGCCCCCAAGCCTCATGTGCCCATGGGTGGGGCTTTAGGGAGGAGGCTGGATCTAGGCTGTGTGAATATAGATTAAGAATGTGTGACATGTGGATTGGTCTTCTATTTGGATTAGCACAGTGGGTGTGGCTCAGTGCATTTACTAAAGATGTGCCCATGGGTGTGGGTGGCACTGTCAGTAGGTCTTTCACCTGGCTGGAATGTAAAGGGAAAAGGGAAGCCATGTTTAACTGTTTGCTGCTTGCTGGCTGCTGCCTTCTGCCTGTCTTGCCATGAACTGTTTCTCTTCTTCAATCCCCCACTGCCCTGCCACCTGCCTTGCAGCCAGCCAGTCCGTAGACTGAAAGCTCTACAGACTGTGAGTTGAAATAAACCTTTCTTCTTCGTGGGTTTCAGGTATTATATCCTGGCAATGAGAAAAGTGACTGAGACCCATAGCATCCATCTGTGTGGACAATCCCAAATTATGCAGCAAACAAAACAACGACAACTCTTTCTTATTTCACAGTAAGGGACACAACACATTTGAAATATTACTGTCAAGGCATTGGAACCAGGTAATTATCTCAGGCAGACAGATTTTGAAGGATTGTTTTGGGGGAGTTGGGAGAGAAACTAGGGTGACTAACATTGGCTGTACCCTTGTATGGTAAACTGACATGGAAGACAGATTCCCCTTGACTTAGTGTTCTTACAGGGTTACACATGGTGCTCTGTGTTCCTTTAGGTCTTATACTGCTGATCTCTTGACCTCTCTGTGGTGTACAAAGGGAAGGAAGAGGAGGAGACTGCTAAGGCAACCTGGGTAGAGGATAACTATCTGGTAGACTCAGACAGCTTAGGATATTATAGAGCAATATTTTTTGCTCTTACAAAATGTGTTTCCAGGGCCACTTTCTTAGTAATCTCACTTCTCTGGCTCTTCAGAACCAAGAACAGGAATTTTATAGACTGGAGAAGAAAGACTCCACCCTTGGTTCAATTTGCAAATTTTCAGCTCAACAATTTTTTTTCAAGCTCCCCAAAAGTCTTCCAAGAGAAAGGCCACAGGGGTGCAGGGAGTAGCCCCCGTGAGATGTGGGTTATGTTTGCACGTCATTCCCTCAGCCACCGGGCTTCAAACTCTCACTAACAGAGTCATGACTATGGCCTGTGAAAAATTCTCATAGGTGGTCGGAGTTCTAACCACAGAGTTAACACCCAAACGCTACACACACTTTTGTAGTTGGTAGAATTTTCTTTCTACTGTCAGACAAGATTGTTGACGCCTTTCACTCCACAGTCACTAGTATTAGCTTATGAAAAATAGTCATAAAATTTTATGTAATTTAAAAACCAGAACATAGGAGGAACAAGCTTCATGACTGCCCTCCCCTATTTTGTCCCCAGTGCTTAAAAGATGACTAATAACATCATCAGTGCTCATCAGATTTTTGTTGACTGTATAAAATTTTTTTCTACCTAATATTTGTAAAAGGCATTACTTGGTATAAAATGTCACTATATAAAAATGAAAAGGTGGATTTCCCTGCCAGATAGCAAGTGATAATGGAAAGAGAAACAATAAGGGCTTAATTAAAGTTGTTTTATAGTTGTTTTTCTTTTTTCTTCATTTTTGATCCTGTGGTTTTTCGTAAGTTTTTGGTAAGCTTATCTATACATTTTAGTCTGTGAGATTTTTATTTATTTTATTATTTTTTAAAATGTATTTGGTGCAGGGTCTCACCACCAGCTTGGACTCCTAGTGATCCTGTTGTCAGCCTCCCCAGCACTGGGATGACAGTCATGCGCCACCACGTCTAGACTTGGTGGCAGGTTTAGTGTGCCTGGAGCCTGCGCTTGTGAGGCATGTGGTGTCAGGGGTTGCACCCTGGTCCCTGAGCTTGTAGTCTATGATAATTTATCTAATATTTTTATATATTATGTAGATGAATGGTTTTTTAAATTTATGTAATGTTGTGGTTTGTGTGTATTTGTCCCCCCCAAGCCTCATGTAGTCATTGAAGCACAGTTCTATAGTTTATGATTAATTCATAGTTCAAGGCTGGGATTATGGGTCTGTGTAGTGCTGGAATTATGGGTGTGAGTGCTACAGCCAGCTTGGGGCAGATAGCCTGAATGTAACATAAAAGGGACAGAGAGACAGACTTGCTCTCTGTAGCTATTGTTGTTTTTCCTCCTCCCTTTGCTCTTGCTATTTTACTGCCTTCTGCTACCATGAACTGCTGTCCTCTGCCATGTCCCAGGCTGCTTTGGAGCCAGCAGAATATGGACTGAAGCCTTCAGTAATTGAGCCAAATAAACCTTTCCTTCCTTCATTTTGAGTGTTGGGTATTTGTCCCAGTAATGAGAGAAGAGTAACTGAGACATGTTGCCAGAAGTAGAAATCAAGCCTTGGGTTATGGATTAAATTCCACTTTTGCTCCAAGTGATCCTGCGTAGCTCTTCATTCACTCAAAAATTCCTTATTGAGTCCTCATCATTTTGCTAGGTGTTGTGCAGCAGTAGATAAAATCCTTCCCATAGTGGAAGGATTAAATTCTGATGGCAAGAGAGCAGAAGTTCTTTAAAGTTATGAAGGAAAACTGAGTAAAGTGAAGGATATGAGAAGTTCCTGGGGTGTGTGTGTGTGTGTGTGTGTGTGTGTGTGTGTGTGTGTGCGTGCATGTTGTACAAGAGATTTATGGCTCAGCAATAGTGACATCATCTTCTATCTGTGTATATAAATCTAGGAAGATGGGGGAGGATGAGATTTTGAAGGTGGTAGTTGCCTGTTTAGGTGTCTGTCTGTCTGTCTATCTTCTTTTTTTCTTGTGGCACCAGGAATCAAACTTGGGACCCTGCACATGCCAGGCAGGCACTTATGCTGCTGAGCTGTGTCTCTGGCCCCTTATCTATCTACCTTCTATTTCCAGAGAGGGAGAGGAAAGAGAGGTGCACAGCACAATGCGCATTGAATAGTAAGGTGGCTATAGCTAAGAAGTAGATTTTGCTTTGTTTGCATTTTTGTTTTGCATTGAATTTTCAAAATTTATAAGCATCCATCATTTTCATTTTTAACACAAATCACTCTGAAGGAGAAAAACAGAGAAGAAAGTAAATAAAGAAAAAGGTTAGAAATAGAAAGACCAACAGTAAAGATCCAGAAATGACTCCAGTACTCATTCAAGTGAATTAAAAACTTCTGCCTATATAAAAACCTGTATGTGAATGCTGACAGGAGCTTCATTCAGAATTGCCAAATATAAGCAAACAGTTGTACATCCACACAAGCGAGTACTACTCAGTGACAAAAAGACAGCACCTGTAGCACGATGGAAAGACACAAAGGAACCTTAAATATGTATTGCTATGTGAAAACAATACACTTTGCACAGGCTGTATTGTTGGGTATGGTGGCACACACCTGTAATCAAACCACTCAGGAGACTGAGGCAGGAGGATCTCTGTAAGTTTGAGACCAACCTGGGCTATGTAGTGAGTTCAAGGTTAACCGTGATCCTATAACCATACCTTGTCTCAACCCTTCCAATAAAAACAAATAAGCAGGGCTGGGAAGATGGCCCAGTAGAATAAGTGCTTCCCTGGCAAGTGCAAGGGCCTGAGTTCAATCCCCAGTTCCATAAAAATAAGTAAGTAAATAAACAAACAATAAAAAGGCTACCCCACATAATTCAGCTGTATGTTGTTTTAGAAAAAAACAAACTAGAAAGAGTAAAAAGATTAACATTTTCCTGGCATTCAGCATGAAGGGAGGAAAGGAAGAGCATGTGACAAGAAGGCTGTAGGATGGTGGAAGCGTTAGTGCGCTGGTGCAGCGGGGACGGGCGACATATCCTGCCAAACCCTGAACACTGTACGGCACAAAGAGTGGATCTTAATGAAATCTGGGATTTATGAACAGTAATGTATCAGCTTATCAATAGGAACGTGGGTCAACAACGCCTCCACTTCTGAGTGAGAACAACGGTAACTGTTAGAGAAAAGGAAGGGCTGGAAAAGAGCAATGAACCACTGTCTTGTAGATCCTCATTCTTGTATTGTTTGAACTTGATTCAAGCAAGCAAACAAGGCTCATGAGCAACACACACCCTCCCATACATAGTTCAGGTGCAAAGTTTCATGAAAAACGAACACTGGATCATACAACAAGACGGTGCCCAAAACAGTGAGATCATTAAAATTTCTTGTCCTTAAGCCTGGTTTGAAAATAATACATCTTTCCTTTTCATGTAATTCAAGATTCATATATCTAAATACTGTGAACAAGTAGAAGGCGTTCTCACCTGAAGGACTTTCCTAATTCTTTTCAGATTGTGTATTAAGAGCAGGTTTTTCTCCTTGGAAACACGACCCAACTGTTCATCCAGTTGTATCAACAAGTTTTGAAGAAGAATGGTTGCCATGGTTTCGTTGTTAGAAGCTGCCTCCCTGGAAATCAAAGTATTACTACATGTCAGGAAACAACTTAGAGAAATAACTACTTCTGCACTGGATGAATTTTAAGGTGATGTGTGTGCTCCATGGTGCTCATCATCTAGAGGTTTGCTAAAATTAAACTATCTACAACAAGACGGTCACCACCTCAGCCATTAGGGAGCTGTAAGTCAAAACTACAGTGAGATACCACTTCGCATTCACACGGATGTCATTATCAAGCAGCAATGATGGCAAAATGGAGATTAAAACAAGTCTTCCCAAGGACACTGAAAAAGTGAAACCCTCCCATATGGAGGACAGGAATGTAAAACGCTGCAGCCACTGTGGAAAACTGTGTGAGAGTTGCTCAAAAGATTAAATGTGAAATTAGCACATGATCCAACGGTTCTCTATTTGGGTCTATACTCAAAATAATTGAAATCGGAGACCCGGACAGATATTTATATGCCAATGTTCGCAGCAACTTCACTGGTGACAACTGAAGGCGCACAGAAACAACCCAAATATCCAGTGACTGAGGAGCTGATCCAACAAAGGTTGGTGCGTACATACGAACAGAGTAGTCAGCCTTGAAAATAAAGAAAATTCGGTATGTGAATGAAGCTTGAAAACAGCACACTAAGTGAAATACGTTAGCCACAAAAGGACAGATAGTGTGAGATTCCACTTCCATAAAATATACAGAGTGTCACATTTACAGACAGAAAATAGAATCCTGATGGCTAGAGGCTGGGACTGGAGGGATGGTCTTATTGTTTGATGAGCCCAGTTTCACTGGAAGAGGAAGATAAGAAGGTTCTGCAGGTGGATGGAGATGACAGCTACCTCACTTTGTCAATATACTTAATGTCACTGAGCGGTATACTTAAAATGGCTGAAATACAGAGCTGGGCATGGTGGTGCATGCTTGCAATCCCAGCACTCGGGAGGCTGAGGCAGGAGGATCACCATGAGTTAGAGACCAGCCTGGGATCCACAAGTGAGCTCAAGGCCAGCCTGAAGTACATAGTGAGACCCTGCCTTGTGGGGGACCCAAACTCATTAAAATGGTAAATTTTGTATTATGTATACTTTGTCATAATCTTAAAAAGATGACAAAATATTAAATGGTAGAGTATGAGTAGAGCTTGGAAGAATGGCTATGAATCAGACAGATTCATACAAGGGAAGGATTTATGAGTCACAGAGAAAGCTCCACAGGGTCTTCATAGACTCAGTCAGTGTAGAGCAGGTCATTTATCTTCAAGTTGCTCCAGAGAGGGTAGAGGAACCAGGGGCAGGGAGAAGCTGGCTGTGAATTCAAATTCAAGCAGCCAGCTGGGGCAGAACTTGAGATGTCTGGGTGAGGGGAAGGTCCCCAAGAAGGGAGAACAGGGGCTCCTAAGGGTGGTGTTTGTTTATGTTGAGCCTGGGATAGGGAATTAATATAATGAATAGATTCTTTTCTTGGTTTTTCAAATCTTAAAAAACTGGGGAGTTGGCCTACAGAGTAAGCATTAAAACCTCTACATGTTCAAGTTGTGTGGGTAAAACTAGAAAGGACAATGGTGCTCATTTTCTGAGAAGGGTTTCCAAACTCCTGGAAAAATTCTGTACTTTAGAAGACTGCAGCTATTGTCCAAAGGCAGAGTGCAGAATAGACGCACACGGACAGACCACGAGGCACATGCACGTCAGCTCCTAGGGAAAGCGTGCTGGAGCCTACCAGTCTTGGCTTTCAATCCACTGGGCCAGCAGGTGTCGTATTTCCATCGGAAAGTTGTCATCGTAGAATTGATCTACTTGTTCCAAAAACTTGATTTCTAACTGTTGGACTTGATTCCACTGAGCCATTCTGTAACAGAAAGTGGGAGGGGCAAAGAATTTAAAATCTTGTTGACCAGTGGGTGCAGTCCATGGTCACTTCTTTCCTTGGGTATCAGTCAGGCATAGACATGTGAGACACTGAAATTATGGACATAAAAGGTGAGTAGTGAGAGACAGGTTTCTCCACTTTCATTTATTTATTTTTACTTGGACGAAAGAACAATGCTAAGACAAAGACAGGGCAATTCCTGTAGTTCACACGTAAGTTATTCCTAATGAGGCAAACAGTCCCCTTCCTCTGTCCCCTAACCACATCCTTTCTTGCTCTAGCATGACCTCTTGTTCTTCCTCCTCCAGGAAGTGTTCATGGCCCTCCCCAGGGTGCCCCTGGTCCTGCCCCAGCTGTCTACCTGCCTTCAACCCTCTCTCAGCCAGCTCCCTCCCTGGCCGGCTTCCTCTGTCAGCCACTGAGCAGCCTGAAGGCCCGCGACATAGCGACATAGCGTGAGAACAGACGCCGCCTCCCAAGACCTTGCAAGAGTTTTTTTTTCTGAGGAACAACCCTATGTAGCTTCTCTCACATGAAACTGCCTAAACCTTTTTCTTTACTTCAGATTTGCCTGGTTTCTTGAAAAGCTTTGTATTCCTGACCTTCAGGCTAATTCTGTCATTGCTTTCTGATACATTTCGTCACTCTATTCTCACAGATTCTAGTTCTGTCAGCTCAGAACACTGCTAAACTTGTGAGTATTTTTATTTCTCTCTGTGGAGATCCACCGTGGCTGGGCAAAACTTTTGAAGTCTACCTTTAATTTGTCTCTGATGTGTATCTGACAGTGGTTAAACCCTCAAGTTACTGAAGGAAGAAGAAACCACACTTGATGCATGTTTGGCAGAGCGCTGTAGGAGAGAAGCAGGAGCTTCTCCCCCGTCACCCCGCTCCGGCTGTGCATGTACCTCGTCAGCTGGGAAAGCGAATGACACCAACAACACCGTGACTCCTCGATAGTACAGTGTTTTGCTTTCCTTCAACTCTGATTTCTTAGCATCTCCTCAAGAACACTGGGCCCAAGCACAGCTCTTTTGCTTGATTAATCAATCACTAGAGGAATTCAATGTATCTCAAAGGCAAGTAAAAGTATCTTTTCACTTCTGGTGCATAGTAGTCACAAATTTCACATACACGTTCTCCAGGTTGCCAAGGCAGCCACTTCTGAGCACCTTTTCCCCAAGTAAACGATTAAAAAATGTATAGAAAGGAACTTGTTGCCAAAGTTGTGCTAAATGGAAAGCAACGGGGGAGGGGGATTGTGTTTCAGTTACATATCACTTTATTTGTATGAAAACTTTTGGACGTTGCATTTCTAGGCATATTTTAAGTGTTAAATAAATACCTGTTAGGAGACGACCCAGGC